CAATTAGCGTCAAAAACACCTGAGCAATATGAGGCCAGGTTAAAAAAAGCAACGTCAGCGATATACACAAATGACGGCGTCAGAAACGCCTGAAGAATATGAAGCCAGGTTAACAAAGCAACGTGAGCGATACACACAGATGATAGCGTCAGAAACGCCTGAAGAATATGAAGTTAGATTAATACAAAGCCGTGAAAGACAAAGACAGCAGTTGGGTTCAGAAACGCCTGAACATCGCGATACGAGGTTAAATAAACAACGAGAGCGTACCCAGCAATGCAGAGCTAATAATCTGCAGGCATTCGAGAATGCTATTAACACAATTTGTATACATGTTTGTGATATTTGTACCAAACGTTGTTATCCTAATCAAGTTCGTACAGTTCGGTACAACGCTGCTGCATTAACATACATGTGGAGTTAACTTCGAAAATATCATTGTTATTATGTTCCCGCTGTCAAACACATGTTACTAGTAATAAAACAACAGCACCACCAAAAGCTTACTGGAATAATCTGGATCCAGGTTCTATACCAGACGTTATTCAAACATTGACACAGGCGGAACAACGTTTGCTGTGCAGAATTATTCCCTTTGTTAAAATCGTGAAATTTAGTGGCCTCTATGGGCAGTACGGTTTTCGCGGACAGGCAGTTTTATTTGCCCAAGATATCTTTGAAGTCAGTGAAAGACTGCCTAGTATGCTACCAAGATCTGCAAGCCAGGTAGGCATTATTGTAGTAACCGAACGATTAGAAAATTTGAACATCACCAGGGAATTCACAATATGTCGCGAAAAAGTCTATAGTGCTTTAAGATGGTTAATCAGAAATAACCCGCTTTACAAAGATGTACGTATTGACGACAATGCCCAAATTAGTGACCAGGAGTTAGTACGACTTAGTGTGCCCGAATTGTCTGAAGATGAAGCGTCCGAAAGGAATGAAAATGAAATTCGAAATGCATTCATTCCAATTAATCATGTTGCAAGAATTATTCGAGCTTCATGGCATCAAGGTGACTACAACGTCTTTACTTCGCGATATGCTGGTGTACAATGTAGTGCTATGTCGTTGGCGAACATTGTCCGAGCTGCAATCCTAAGCCCTAATCAATGGGACGTCAATATTCTGAATGCTAATATGTTAACGGGTGACTCCTTATATTGCTGGCATTTACAAAATAAAAGCGCAGGATCAGCTAGTACACGCCACACGAAATGCAGACAATGTGGATATAGCTACTATAATACCAGCTGATATCAACAAAACTGGGGGTTTACCAGCAGAACTGGAAATATTTGTGGGGGCAAAAGTCATGCTACGGTCCAATAT